CACCCTCTGCTCTTTAACTTGCACCATGTAGAAATGATGCCATCATAAAAGTTTTACGTGTGTGTGTGTGTGTGTGTGTGTGTGTGTGTGTGTTTGTGTTTGTGTTTGCATGGGGAGTGTAGAAAACCCTGAGTGAATGAAATTCTCAGTGAATGTGTGCTGTTGATATGGAAACAGCCATGTCAAGTATACTAGTCTCCAACTCATGGGAAATGGCAAAGCCTTCCCTTTGGGTCCATGTATAGATGCTGAAGTGTGTGTAGAAAATATCCACACACACACACACACACACACCCTGCTTCCTCACTCCACAAACGAATGGCCTGCAGATTTCTCCCCTATGAAGGCTGGTTCTACTGAGATTAATTTCAGCCTGTCTCCTTGGACCGCCTGATTCCCATAAAGCCTGCCTCCTGTGTATATGTATCCAATAATGCCACTCCTTATCCAGCTGTATGGAATAAGCCCGCCTCTCTGTTCAGCTCTGTATCATAAACACACCACGCTTCCAGAGTGCTGTGGCTTCTCCGTCAGAGAGACCAGGCCACCCAGTTCTTTTCTGTGTTTGTGTTTGTCTTTTCCTAACTCCCCCGCCTCCCCAGTCAGGCCCATCCCTGGAGCCATGCTGGACACAGCAAAGTTGCTTAGGCCTGTCTTGAACTTGTTCTATTGACCAGCCATGTCTTAATTTTATTTATTTTAAATCACAGGTGTGTGTTTGTATGTTGCCTGTGTACTGGGGTGGGCACATAAGTGTGGGTGCTCGGGGAGGTTAGAGGGGTCAGATCTCCTAGCGCTAGAGTTACGGGTGGTTGTGATTGAACTGAACTAGCTGCTGGCAAGAGGGTCCTCTTTTTTTAATTTTTATTTTTTATATTAATTAGTTTATTCACTTTGTATCCCAGCTATAGCCCCCTCCCCCATTCCCTCCCAATCCCACCCTCTCTCCTCCATTTCCTCCCATGCCTCTCTCCAAGTCCACTGATGGGGGAGGTCCTCTTCCCCTCCATCTGACACTAGCTTATCAGGTCTCATCAGGACTGGCTGCATTGTCTTCCTCTGTGGCCTGGCAAGGCTGCTCCTCCCTCAGGGGTGGGGGGGTGATCACAAAGAGCAGGCCACTGAGTTAAGAGGGGTCCTCTTAACCACCAAGTCATCTCCCAGCCTCCTATGTTTCTTTGAGAGAGGGTCTCACTATGCAGCATTAGCTGGTCTGGAACTCATGGCCTCAAACTCACAGAGATTAATCTGCCTTTGTTCCCCAGTGTTGGCATTAAAGCTGTGGGATCCCAGCCTGGATTTCTTTTTAAATTTTATTTTATTTTTATGTAGATGGGTGTTTTGCCTCCAGTTACATCTGTGTGCCACTTTTGTGTCTAGTGTCTGTGGAAGCCAGAAGAGGGTGTGGGATCCACTGGAACTGGAGCTAGAGACAGTTGTGAGTCTCTTTATGGGTGCTGGAAATTGAACCCAGGTCCTCTGGGTTCATCACTCTTAACCACTGATAGCTCTCAAGAACCTGGCCTTCAGCATTTTTAAAAGAATACAGATTCATGGTTTTGTTCAATCTTCTTATTCAGATCTTCAATAATAAAAATAGCCAACATAAAATAAATAATATCTACATGCTTTACAAATTAGGAAAAGGAAAAACACGTAAGAGAGAAAAGTTAACCATCAGGAAAACTCTGGCTTGAGGAAATGGGTTGTGGGGTAATGGCGCACATCACTAAGCCTGATGACCCTAAGCCTGATCCTGGAACACACATGTTAGGAGGATAAAACAGTCTCCAAAGGTTGTCCCCTAGCCTCCACATGTGTACTTGTACACACGCGCACGCTCACTCACACTCATTAAATAAATGTAATTTTAAAGATTGGGGAAAAAAACACAGGCTGGAGAGATGGCTCAGAGGTTAAGAGCACTGGCTGCTCTTCCAGAGGTCCTGAGTTCAATTCCCAGCAACCACATGGTGGCTCCAACTATCTATAATGAGATCTGGTGCCCTCTTCTGGTCTGCAGGTGTACATGCAGGCAGAATTTTGCATACATAATAAATAAGTCTTAAAAAAAAATTGAAAAAAACCCTACAAATGACAGACAATGGAATTAACAGATGCAGATTTAGATATACCAATAATGAAAAATGGCTAAATCAATCAGAACACGATATCTATGAAAGTGCTACAGGGAAACTTATTCTGTATGCTATTTTTAAAAGTGTTGGAAAGGCCAGGGTCTGGTGGCACACACCTTTAATCCCAGTGGCAGCAGGTGGCATAGCAAGTTCCAGGGCAGCCAGAGCTACAGAGTGAGAGGTGAGAGGGAGGGGCTAGGGAGATGTGAGACCTGGTCTCAGACTCACTGTGTAGCCAAGGACGACCCTGAGCTCCTCATCCTTTATCTCTCCCTCCCAAGTACTAGGATTGTGAATGTGTGATCACCATGCCTGGTTTTTTTTTTGCTTGCTTGCTTTATCTTTCTTTCTTTCTTTCTTTCTTTCTTTCTTTCTTTCTTTCTTTCTTTCTTTCTTTCTTTCTTGGTTTTTTGAGATGGAGATACAGGGTTTCTCAGTGTAGCTTTGGCTGTCCTGTACTCTCTTTGTAGACCAAGCTGGTCTTGAACTCCCAGAGATCTGCCTGCCTCTGCCTCTGCCTCTGCTGGCATTACAGGCGTGAACCACCACACCAGCTTTAAAAAAAAAAAATCTTAAATGTTGCAATGTATTTGATGGCTCAGTTGGTAAAGTGTGTGCTACATAAGCATGAGGGCCTTAGTTTGGATGCCCAGGGCCCATATTAAAGCCAGGAGCAGCTCTGAAAACTCAGTACGGGGGATTGAGGGATGGACAGATCCCTCTGCCAGTCACTGGCTAGTCAAATCAGGAAGGTTCTCTCCCAGATCCTGTCTGGAAAAACAAGGTGGCAAGTGACTGGGCTAGAGAACAGACACCAGCCTTTGGCTTCACACATCTTTGTGCACGCATGTGCCTGAACGTCTACATCCATATGACATGCACCTTAAAAACCTCAATACTTACAAAAATAATACTACAGATTTAGACTTAGGATGGGGATGGTAGTCATTTCTAAAGCTTCCATCTGTCCCTTTCAAAAGGCATTGAATTATACACCAAACAGATGAATTAAGCGCAATTGTAGGGGCTGGCGGGATGGTGCAGCAGTTAAGAGGACTGTCTTCTCTTCCTAGAGGTCCTGAGTTCGATTCCCGGCAACCACATGGTGGCTCCCAACCATCTATAATGTGATTTGATGCCCTCTTCTGGCGTGCAGGTGTACATGCAGATAGAGCGCTCATATACATAAGATAAATAATTTTTTTTATTGCTTATTATCTAGTATTTGGGAGGTAGAGATAAAGGATGAGGAGCTCAGGGTCGTCCTTGGCTACACAGTGAGTCTGAGGCCAGCTGGGGATGTGTAATTAATTTTGAGGGTCTCACATCTTTCTAGCCCTCGCCGCTCACTGTAGCTCTGGCTGACATGGAACCCTCCATGTAGACCATGCCACCGCCTCCACCGGGATTAAAGGTGTGTGCACCACACCCTGGCCTTTTCATAAGTGCAGTTGTAATTTCCTCTGGCTGTCTCTTCTGGGGTCTAAGTCCATAACGTGTTCCCCCACCCCCAATACCTCCTCTCCAGAACCCCCCACCTGCCACCCTCAGCCCTGACTGTCTGGCTGTACTGGAATTCCCTAAGTAGATCAGACTAATCAATCGCAGACTCACAGAGATATGTCTGCCTCTGCCTCCCAAGTGCATGATTAAAGGCTTGTGCCAACCAAGGCCAGCTCCAAGTCAGCCAACTGCAATCTAGTTTCTCAACAAAGCACACTTACAAACTGCCTCTTACAGTACAAAGCGCTACGTAATAAGTACAAGCCACACTGTGTGCACAAAGCCAGACACCGGAGTTACAGACGGTTCTCAGCCGACACGTGGGGCCTGGGGATCGAACTCTGCTCCTCTGGAAGAGCACAGTGCTCTTAACCGCTGAGCCATCTGTCCAGCAGTTTTTAAACAGGTCACTTGTGTAAGTGAAATTGAATACTTGCAATTGCCTCAGGAGGCCACCTTTCTCATCACTCAGCAGTATTGATCCTTAGGACAAGGTGGTGCCAGCAGAAAAGCCGCCCTTTCCCATTTGTGATCCAGAAGGAAGCCGCGTGTGGGGTGGTGGGAATTCTTGAACTGTGTGTATTTATCTGTATCTATTTATCTCAACAATGCTACCTAACTATGTACCTTTATCCCCATTAAACTTTAACCCAGTGATTTTAGCAATCATTGATGGTTCCTAACAATGCCGCTTTCACTGTGACTTTGCAAAATGTTTTCGCAGTGTTTTTCCGTCTATTTTTTATTACAGGGTACTCTACTAGAAGGAAAAAAATCTTCCTTCTACCTTGGTGCCCTTGAGCCCAGGTTCCTCCTATTCTACCTCCACTACCCAAGTCGTATTTTTTAAGGAGAAAAAAAAAAAAAAACCTTAATAAACTGTGTATAGCACTCTAATTCGGTGTTTTCTGGTCGGTGTTGGGGACCTAGCAGCCCTCATTTCTTTGTTGTGGGGCCTCCCAGCCTCATGCTTATGTGAACTGGGACCTTGGGCGGTTTAGTCAGAAGCTCTCTCCCAGTCTGTTCCACAGTTTGGCGAGGTCATCAACGCCTTTCTCTAAGCTTCATCTATGGACCACAGAAATCCTCCCTGCCATTCAACTCATTATTCCAGCCCCCTCTGAAGAGCACAAGCCTCCCAGAATCAGCCGAAAGAGGAAGATGGGTAAAGGCCGACGGGAATCGGCAGCGCAGGCGCGAATCAGGGGCTGGAAAAACAAAAACGGTCGCGACCTTGGTCCGGGTCCCCGCGCCTGCAGGAACTTAGATCGCGGGCCGCGGGGCGGGTGCCGGCGAGGGGCGGGGACAGGGGCCCCGGGGCGCCGCCCGCCGCGGGTGCTTTGCTTAGTCACGGCGGCGCCGCGCCCCGCTCCCCGCGCGCACTTCCGCGCATGGCGCTGCTGCCGCGGGCGCTGAGCGTGGCCGCGGCCCCGAGCCTGCGGCGAGCGGCGCGCGCGCTCACCTGCGCCATGGCGAGTCCGCACGAGCCGCAGCCCCCGGCCGCCGCCGCCGCCGCTTCCTTCGACTACCTGGTGATCGGCGGCGGCTCGGGCGGCCTGGCCAGCGCGCGGCGGGCGGCGGAGCTCGGCGCCAGGGCCGCCGTGGTGGAGAGTCACAAGCTGGGTGGCACTTGCGTGAGTACCGGGGCCCTGGGGCCGCGGCGGCGGCGAGCTCTGTCCGGGCCTCTCCGCGCCGGACGCCCGGGGTGCTTCCCCGCTCCGGGCCCGTGGAGATAGCGGGAAAGAGGGTAAAGCCACCGAGCCCGCCGCTCAGCACAGGTGCAATGCTAATGAAAGCCAAAACCTAAGGCCAGCGTGCATCTCCATGCGGGGGAGTATAGCATCCGCCGTCAGAGCCAGGGAAATAAGAAACTGCCTCTGGGAAACTGCTAGTGGAGTGGGCGAGGAGGGCGAGGCGAGCAGTAGAGGCTGTGGCGTTGAGGAGTGGGGCCTGAACTTCTGTTTCAAGGGCAGAGTAGTTCCCAACTTCGGGTGCGCATTGTAACCCCCTGGAGAGTTGAAGGTCCTGCCACCCGTGTTCCCGCGCTCCCAAGACTCTGTGTAGCTGGAGGTGAGGAGTGGAGGAGTGGATGTTAGCAAGCTCGGAAACACGCAATTGATCCAACGCCGAGAACTTCCAGCCACCTCCAAAGAAAAACCTTAAGGGTTTTCTCAGAGCCTTATGATGCCTTTTTTGTTTTGCATCGTTTGGGGACAGGTTTTCAAATTAAAAAGAGAAAGGTGACCAATCTTGAGATTGAAAGATAATATTTTTAATAGCCTCGTATCCACATGATTGTGGCCTTTTCCTATCACAAGATCTAGTCAGAATTGTTGGTGATTGAAAAACGCTGAACCCAAATATCACCGGAGATTGGGGATAGGTTCTCTAAATGCCTTTGAAGACTGATACCTAAATTATAGTAAATTGAGAGCTTCTTGGGGCAGGGATGGGCCCCTGTATTTGTATACTGCTTGTTACCTTAAAATACCTTTCTCAACAGCTATTTTTGAAATGAATGAAGCTGGAGATGAGTAATTGTGCGCAGGCCCAAGCCACTGTTGAATGAACCTGGGGGGGGGGGGGGGGGGATTAACCAGAAAGGAAAAGTCGCTGTTAATGACTGGTGTGCACTTTGATACTAGTCTAGAAAGACTGGAAGACAGATTGAAGGGTTCCTCTGAGCCTGCTCCCTGCCCTTCACAGATTGAGTGGGAGTTTGTAATTTCTCATCATTGCAGTTCCCTAGGCTTTTGTTTTCCTCCTTCCTTGTTTTGAGTGCCATGGGTTTGTGACTACTGCTGTCATTGTTGGTTCTACTGGCATCAGTCAGGCAGGGCCTGGTAGGGGTTTGGTTCCCATTAAGAAAAAGAAGACATGCCTGGTGATGGTGGTGCATGCCTGAGGCAGGTGGATCTCTGAGTTTGAGGCCAGCCTGGTCTACAGAGAAATTTCTTGGACAGCTGAAGCTACACAGAGAAATCCTGTCTTGGAGGGGAGGGGTTGAAGACAAGATAAACTGCTTCCTAGAGTAAGCAAAGGACAGCTCAGAATGACACTATAACCTGCCCAGTTCCCCCCTCAGCAGCTTCCATTCCCATCTAAGCACTGATGTTTTGGGGGTGCCCTTTGCTGATTTAGAGGCCTAACTTTGGGGAGATCCTCAAAGTAGCATTTGACCTTAAATTACAAAGCAGTAGGGCTGCAGCCAGTATCTGAAAGAATGTAATGAAAGGGAAGATGTGGGTTCGGATTTGCTCAAGGATTGTAGTTGCGTGGTCTGTCCAGGGTTGCAATGTGAACTTCCTACACCAAGTAATTTCCAAGCACATGCAGGGGAAACTGTGGCTTTCTGAAGCTGGTCCTTTTATTTGTTCATGTTTTAGGTCCTTAGATTGAATCCTACAGAAGGAAGTGGCTAGATAACAAATGTTTTTCTACAGAGGTTCCTTTCTTCAAAGCACTTGCAGTATGATGAGACCAAATCCAGTCAACCAGAAAGTGGGGTTGGTCAGTCTGTATGTTCATTTATATGAGCGCTTTCATGAATGTTTGTGCACAGAGGCCAGAAGAGGGCGTCATTGGATCCCCTGGAACTGGAGTTAGGGACAGTTGTGAGCTGCCATGTGGGTGCTGGGAATCCAACCAGGGTCCTCTAGAATAGTGGCTTAAGCACTGAGCTGTCTCTGCAGGCCAGGACTGATGTGTCTTCATTGTTGCAGGTAGTGACGGCCCAAAGTAAAGTAGTTCAGAGAATTCTCACTTCTTCCTGGGGCGGAGGGTTGCCAAGTTCAAGGCCAGCCTGAGCTATATAATGAGTCCTGTCCCTATACACAAAAGAGCCAGTAAGTTTTTCTCTGGCAGTGTTATTTCCAGGTGGTAGGATTACATTTTATTTCTTTATCCATTTGTTTACTGAATACTATTGGAAATCTATGAATCAGGTTTTTGTATTTTGTTTTAATAAAGATTTGTCTTGGGGCCTTGGGGACACTTGCTGCTCTTGCAGACGACAGGGTTCACTTCCCAGCACCCACATCACAGCTCACAGCTACCTGTCTAATTCCAATTCCAGGGGATCCATTGCCTTCTTATTAACCTTTCCAGGCGCTGGCACACACGTGGCACACTTACATCCTTGCCGGCAAAACACATACATCAGATAAAATCTTTTTTAAACTTTCATTTTTATTATTCTGTAGATATATATGTGTGTGTTGAGGGCAGGTGTGTGGTCCCCCTGGACTAGAATCACAGGCAATTGTGAGCTGTCCAGCCTGGCTTCTGGGATCTGTACCCTGGGCTTCAGCAAGAGCAATGCGTGCTCTTAACTAATGAGCCGTCTCCCCAGCAAACGCTCTTCTCCATGTTTTTATAGATGCCAGAGGGTCACTGCAGTCAGCAAAGCAGTCTGGTGGGCTGTGTGTGTGTGTGTGTGTGTAGAGATTGGTAATAAAGCTGGAATTGGCTTTGGAGATTCATCACTCCTATATGACTATTCTTTTTCAGAAACAAGAATAATAATACGTGCATGGGCAGTTCTATGTAGTTCTCTCTGATCTAGAACTCTGAATATAAACTAGGCTGGCCTCAAACTCAGAGGTCTGCCTGCCTCTGCCTAAGGTTAAAGGAATCTAGGCTGTCATTAAAAGTATTATATAGCTGAGGATGATCGTGAACTTCCGATCTCCCTATGTCGACCTCCCAAGTTTTGGGATTACAGACACATATCACGGCTTCCTACTTACATGATGCTGGACACGAGTAGGCAAGTGTACTGCCTACCAACTAAACTACATCCAAAATCTGCTTTTGTTTTGTTTTTGTAAAGACTGTTGCGAAGGTACCAACATTGTCTCTGATTTTATTACATTTATTTTGGGGGGACAGGGGACATGCATGGTGTGGCATGTGTGTGGAAGTCAGAGCGCAGCTTAGGGAGTCAGTGTTCTCACCATGTGGAGGATCGAGCGCACATTGTCGGTGTCTTTATTCACTAAGCCATCTTGGCAGCCCCAACCTGGCATTTTATTACTTTCATTCTGCTTTTTATTACAGGAAATTGAACCCATGCCTTGTACATGCTGAGTATGTGTTCTGCTCCTGAGCTATGTCTCATGCCTTAAGAACAGTACATATTTTAATGAGAAATGGGAAACGTGTCCTTTGAAGACCTCTGGTTTTCTTTTTTTGTTTTGTTTTGCTTTTTGTTGTTTTGGTTTGGTTTTTTGGTTTTACTTTTTTTTGTTGTTGTTGTTTTTGTTTTTTTGAGACAGGGTTTGTGTAGCCTTGGCTGTCCTGGACTCACTTTGTAAACCAGGCTGGCCTCGAACTCACAGAGATCCTACTACCCCTACCTCCCAGAATGTTGGGATTACAGATGTATGCTACCATGCCCGGCTGACCTTTGGCTTTCTAAAACACTGTGTTGGCCCTGTATTTTTGTTTCACATAAATCCTAATAGAAAGTCAAGGAACATCATTTTATTCAATCCCTTTTGCTCTCCTAAAGAGCAAAATGTCAGCTAACACACTTGAGAATACTCAAGTACATTTATTTTGGGGGGACAGGGGACATGCATGGTATGGTATGTGTGTAGAGCTGTGTGTAGGAACCATGGTGTTAGGATATCGTATAAGGTAGTCTGTGCTGCCATAAAGGCCTGTAAGCCTTATCCTCTGGTAGAAAGCAGGAGCCGCCTCACCCCTACTTGGGAACCAGGTATTATTTAGTCTAAAGTCAACAGAACTGGGGTGCTCAGCAGTACAGCTCTAACCTGAAAGCGGTGAGGTCCCGGGAATCCTGAAGCAAACATTCAACAAGCCACAAAACTCTGAATTAGGGCTCTCCCTCATGAGTCTTCACCCCAGAGCTTCCGATTTACTAGTGTTTCTGGAGTAAAATCTTACAGATACAGTTTTCAGAGGCTGCACCCACATTTTTGTGGGTGAGTCAGACACAATACCAGGCCTTTGTCAGAATAAGGCCTGGGAAATCACTAGCAGGACTCCAGTAAGCCCCTGAATGATTTCGGAGTGAGACAGCAGGGAGTTTTGTCCTTGGTTAATGCTCTCCAGTTTCATTTTGGCATGCTTCAGGAATGACCAGCGTAAAACATCTCCTAAGGTTGTCTGCCACGTATGACTGCTTGCTTGCTTGGTTGCTTTTAACTTCTGGGTTATCTTTTTTAACTTCAGGGTTTACTTTTTGTTTTGTTTGTTTTTTGTTTTTTGTTTCTTTTCTATAGAATTTGTTCCTTTAAGACCCAGGGAGAGAAAGTTAGTAAGAAGCCTGGTATGAGATGAGCATGCCCTGTGCTGAGCTGAAAACTGTTGTCTAGAGCTGCTGCTAAACCATCTGAGCCACAGAGAAAATCATCCACAGGCCCTATAGCATGAGTTCGTCCTTAGTCTTCTGAAGCAGGCAAAAACCAATCAAACAAACGTCCTCGTTGGGTGCATTGTATTGTGTTAGATAACAAATAGCTGAGTGTGAGGGCAAAATCAGTTATCTTTTTCCCTAGAGTTAAGGATAAACCCTTATTGCCCAGTGCAGTGAAGAGGGCAGAGGAAACACGTTGGCGATGATCTTGTGAGTTCAGTTTTCAGAGTCTCTTGATGGCACAAACCGGTC